AGAGGTTGGTAACGCTCCTAATTGACAGTAATAGTCTCTCCGTTGTGGTTTTCAAAGAAGTGTGGTCCAATCTCACCTCCAAACTAAAGAACACACCAGTTAGTAAGTCTTTTTGGGTGTAATGGCCTCTCTTATTTGAGCATTGTCGGAGCCTCGAATGGGACAATTTTGCTTGCTAACTCGTATGTATTCCCCGAATGCGAAATGTGCCTCGTCGCTGATGAAAATTTTGTTCCAAATTTTGTAGACGACAATCGACGTATGCTCGGCGTTGTAAATAGCCAGCTGACATCAGTTGCTTTGTGAACCGGATTATAATTCCAAGAGAAAAATAAGCCAAAAGCCCGGCTCTAGAGGACGTCGAGGATTATACACAATGGAGTCTTCGGCTACACATTCACTTGCTAATGCGATATTTATGGTGGAACGTGCGAAACGATGATGCGTAGACCTTCCAATATCTACAGCAGATCCAATCCTTTAATTTTTTTTAGTTTCAGCAATTGCTTAAGTAGTTGAACGTTTGTTTGCACCATAATATCCATTTATAGGGCGAAACGTGGCCACTTTTGAATTTCCTTTTTGGGAGTAGCTCAATAGTTGTGGGACTGTTTAGCTATCCCTTTCATAAATGCCTGACTTTGGTCTGTCTCTTTGAAACCACAAAATGAATAGCCCCATTGAAATGGCAGTTAAAGCTTCGTAGGCCTACAACTTCTGGTCTATTTGCTTTAAAACACAACTTTTTAATTTATTTATACATATGTGTGTATGTATGTATGAATGTGTGTAATAATATGTACGTTCAACATTTTCGTGTGGCATGTTAGCAAGTCTGTTATTTAAAATACTCACAGCCCAGACATTAATTAAGATAACAGCGAAAGGTAGTAGAAGGTGCTAAAGTGGGCAGCCCCTCCTTTCATGTCTAAAAATAGAAAAGAAGAAATAAAAAAGGCAATAAAACAACTAAAGGAGGTAATAAAAATTCGTTGAAACAAGATAAACTATGTCGAGTGAGTGCTTGAATTTATTTAATAAGCAAAAAAATGAGGGGCTCAGCTAAGTGTAATACTGACCATCTAAATAATATTTCCATTACGAATGTCCAAAAAACAGAGAAAAAATGCAGAATAGAAGAGGAAAATAATGTCACTTTCTAGCAGCCGAATACCAATAAAGCAGAAACGCTGGAAAAAAATGCCCCAAACCAATTTAGCTGACAAGACGCATTAACATCAGCAAGGCAACAAGCGAACTACCGAGGAGGGTCCGAGTCCGAAGCAGCGACTGAGACGCACACTTGGTAAAGGCAAATGAAGTGAAGTAGGAAAGGTCAGGCGAGTAATGTACCACGATGAATGACAAATGCGACCTTAAGTGCACACATACATACATAGCTATACATATTTATAAAACTAAAAATGTGTAAGAAAAAGCGACCTTACATTATGGGGTGGGCAGACTCAAATCACCTTTCATCATGCCGAAATGACTAACAGGAAATTAATAGTAGCATTATTAGCAAACGTACAACAACAACATGAACAACAATTCCAATATTCAAATGCAAGAAACTCACAATTTGGTCGAGAAGCCACCTGCGCCTTGTGTTGAGTCTTTTTTTTGTCTTTGACTGTGTCGCCCAAAAGAGACGACTAAGATTAAGCGTGTAACTAAAACCAAGTTTAATTAGACCTTTTTTCTAGCTCGCTACACACCAGGCTATTCATATACATATGTATATGTATATGTATTGTATGTGTATGCACTCGCACAAAAAAGTATCAAATTAATAAATGAATCGGACGAGTTGGCACCAGCTGGCTCTGCTTGGTTGGCTGGATGGCTGGCTGGCTGGCAAGCAAATTGAAAAGGCAAAAGGTATATGCACATGTTGCTGTTGTTTTTTTTTTTTGGTTAATTTTGTCTATTTTGAAAATGAAAGGGTCAAAGAAGATGAGTAAAAATCTTAATTGAAAGCATTAATAATTGTAGACCGTAAAAATGTGGGCGAAACTGAAAATTTCGATATAAAATATATGTGTATGCACTTGAAGCTGTTGTTGTAATGTAGCCATCTAATGAGGTTTTAGGTGAATATTGTTATAATGAAAAGAATTTTGAAGTTATCGAGTTGTTTAAAGATTGATTTGCCAGAGCAAAGTGATTTAAGCTGAAATTAATTCTAAATTCACTTTCATAAGTCTGCAGAATATTCCATATGAAAGGGTTATGATGAGAGTATCCAAAAATACAAAGATTATTTTCTTTCCTAAACTCACTGTAAAAGTTTCTAGGTAACTTTAAGACCGCCAATGAAAGATGGAGAGTGTTGTTTCCCTCTGACAAAGAACGGACGTAGCACACGAGCTGAAAAGTCTTGAATCAAGCAGGAAAAAGATTTTTTTATTCAAGATTAATGGGAGCTCACCTATTACTGCCCACTCATAGGACAATCGTTCCGATTGCTGAGTGAAGTGTCATCCATTGTCACATAACGACGTAAAAAATTCTCATCTATAAGGTTAAAGCATGGCAAAATACCGTTCGGAATCATCAATAAGTTCTTGATTTTGAGGGAGGAAGTCCTTCCAAGCCGGTCCCGGTAGTTTTCAGCACATATGGCACTGTTGATCTTGAGTTGTAGAGCTGTTACCGGTGTTATAGATAATCATCACAATAAACAGTATCATAAAAATAAAAATCTAATTTCATATTAACAGCTCTATCTGTGATTTCAAGTTCCTCTATATAAATTCTGCTAGGTGCAGTGTCAGAGCGCACTAATTTCGTATAATGCTAAAAAATTACCATTGAAAAAAAATCTTCCTGAGTCGTACCACCACGAAACATAAAAATTTGTTTTTCGAGAGATCCTCTATATTGTGTAAGCTAGCGTTAAAAAACATCAAAATTCCAACAGGATCGAGAAGGATCTCCTCGAACCGTTTGGTACGAAAGAAGGTTATGGACAAGGGATCAAGATGGTATTGAACTGGTTAAGGAAGCCAAACTGGTTAAGGAAGCCAAGCCAAATAGCCCCTATCAGCACCCAAACAGTCATGGCATTCGGTACTCGGCTCCCACGTCATTGCTGACAGTCATCACAGTCAATTGTAAAGTAAAATCCTCTCTCGCTAAGCAAGGACCAAACTCAACAAGTCGCTCTTTACCCCCGTCCTACTAACGAGTGATCCAAGTAGAGGTACTTTTTTCAAACGACTTTTTGACAGATCACGCGTGGGGCGTGTCAAGCCGTCGTGTTATTTTTTGGTAATTTAATATGGAAAGTCTTACGCCTGAACAACTTTCACGTTGTGTATCGCCGGCTTCGCTCAACTTATGGTCAACATAATCGTCCTACAGAGCATACTAATTACAACACCATCACCTATCTTGAGAGCCAGCATTCATTATTGAATAATATTCGACCCAATAGAGCACTTTCAGCACGCCGTGAAGAAAATATAGCAGCCGTAGTTCGCAGCAACTCGTATTGACGTATGAAACGTCTTGGCGCATTTTACGTCGAGATCTTAAATTGAAATCGTGCGTTAATGCATCTTGTGCAAGAACTGAAACCTCTCAATTTTCCCACGCGTCATCGCTTAGATCTATGCTCCAGAATAGTGCCAAGAAGATCCAACGTTTTCGAGCCAAATTTTGTTCAGCGGTGAGACCCATTTCAGGGTCAATGAGAATGTAAACAAGCAAAATTTGCGCCTTTGGGATGCAGGTGAACTTGAAGAGGTTCAACAGCTGCCATTTCATCCAGGAAAAATAACGGTTTGGTATGGTAGTGAGCCGGTGGAATTATCATTCCATATTTCTTCAAAAATAATCTCGGTGAGAACGTCACCGCCTATGGCGACCGTTATCGCGCTATGACAACTGACTATTTGATGCCCGAAATTAAAGCTCATGGTTTCGGTGCCATTTATTTTCAAAAAGAAGCGGTTAGTCGACCAGCAAGATCGTATAATAACACAAAGTTAGACTTTTTCCGGTGGGAAATGTAAAGTTGCGGACAATCGCAATGCGATTCAAGTCTCGGAGCTAAACATCACGCGTATCATTCGCCAGTTACCAGCTCGAACGAGTCATCGAAAATGGGATCCAATGGATGGACCATCTGAGACGTAGACGCGGCCAACATTTCCCCATTTAAACTTGAATTTTCTGTATTTTTTCATTAAATGGATTGCCCTTATTTGAGAGACTTGAACGACGGCAACATCTGATGCGCCGCCGTTGGAAGTTTTTGAAAGAAAAATGTTTTTCATAAGATTGCTGAGCGCATTGGCAACGGCGACAACCGCAGCCGTTGGACGAGATTGACTGCAATTATCTAATTAACAAGGTTTTTAGTATTATTATACCTTTCCGAAAAATATGTCTTGCGAATGAGTCTATTAAAGTCACGCTAACTTATTAATAGTTTTGCGGGTTAAAAAAACTAAATAATTGATATATTAAATTATGTAGATCATATCCCTCGGACATATCGGGCAATAGAACATTTGGCTTGGCTTACCAGTTTTGGTCCTTGGTTGTGGGATCACCTCCCTGCTCTTATTAATTCTAATGAAGCCTTTACTGTAGAAATCCCTACCCCCTGCCCTAAGGTACGTGGTTTTGGTGCACAATCCGTTTCTATTTCTACTTCGTATTTATTTTAAGAATATAAAAGAACTTTGTTTTAAATGAAAAATGTGTTGTTTGTGAAATGCATAATGCTTTAAGCTGTTAACAAATTCACATCACTCTCAAACCAATAAAAAATTTTCAATTTACAATATTTTCAACTGAAGTAAACTAAGCCACCTAGCCTCGCAGCTCTTCCCCCGTAAAATGGCTCAGCATAGCATTTATAATTATAACCTCCAACTCTTGAACGAGCTACAGAGAACTCAAAGAAAAAAACTAAAACGAGTAGGCGTGCTCTTATCTATACTCATATACTTACATTTTGAAAATTTTTATTATGGGCTTCTTACTAAAACCCAAATTATTACATTTTCCAATGCCAAAATCACAAAGCAGCATTTTTTTTGTATTGAGAAATAATCATCAAAATTCCACAACAAAAGCGTGTTAATAGGAATTTCCTCATTAATTGTAGGTTCGGAACCCGTTATATACTCCCAAAATAAAAAAATTTGATAAGAAAGAAATTATTACACTCCACTATCGAAAAGCAAAGATCAAGCAAATATGCTACGGCTAAATTACAGGAATTCACGCACCAAAACCAAAAAGGGAGAAAGTGAGAAATCAAATTGAGGTTTGGAAATTAAGTTATTACACATTTGTTTGCCGCTGCCGCCCTGCCGCCGTGCCGACCGTCCGACCAGCGAACGACTACTGTTGCTGCTGCATAAAGAAGTAATAATTTTGTGGTCGAAATTAGATTAATGGATCAATCAGCGTGGCTAGAAGCAGTTAGTAGTGGACCCAGTGGAGCAATAGCTGCATAAAGAATCAAACAAACCTCAACCATAGAGCTGGACTGTGGGCAGAGGTGAGGTTGAATGGGTCGGTCAAGCGTCATCTGGGCAACTATTAATACATATGTATTGTACATTGTAAGTATGTATGTAAATGTGTTTAATGCGTAATTTACGTGCGACTACTCGGCCATGGCTATGGCTTAATTAACGTGCGGCACAATGCTGCTGCTTCTGTTGCCACTACTATTTCTGCTGCTGTTGCTTAGGCTGATGATGATGCTGTTGCTGTAGCCACACATTTGCGGTCGACGTTAAGGTGAGTTGGCTTGTTACGCTTCATTTACGTCAATGCGTTACATTTGCTGGTTGATAGTATATTATTATTGTTGTTGCTGTTATTGTTATTTTATTATTTCTGTAGAGATTCAACAGTTGATGAACAGTTATTGTTGCTATTTTGCTCTTATTTGCTGTTGATTATTCTTTTATGCGCCTCAAGAAATAACTTTTTTCCTTCTTTCTCCTCGACATCCACTCATTCCACGCATGCACGTGCGTATGTGCGTATGTGTGTTAGTGTGTGTAAGTGTATTTATACAAAAGCAAAAAAAAAGTTTCACTAAACTTCAATTTCTAACTTCATGCATTACCATTTGAGTAAACTTTCCTTTCATTTCATTCGATTTAATCACTTTCAACGTCCCTGCCCCCTCAGCAGCACAGCCGTTGTGTTGTTCGCTTTGTAAGTATGTCGGAGAATTTGCTGGTTAATGAATAATTGAAGCTGCTGGACGCATGTGTTAATGGTGTTTTGAAAGTTTTTCTCTTTGCCTTCGGAATGCCAATATTCACTTTGGCCCTGCTAAATCATCTCCAAACAGAGGGACAAAACTCAGGCATATCCTTGCTTTGTAGGCACATCCTTGCCTCTTACGTGCAGCTACCAAATGCTAAATAAGGCGCATACACACTCGAACGAAGGCCCTTCACTTAACTTTCTACGGTAAATAAAATTAATTTTTTCCTTTCACTTTCATCATTTTTCCATTTTCTCTTTTATTTTCTCCAGCTCCTACCGGTTAGCGCGCTAATATAAGCGCCCAAGGCAGCCTGCAACTCCTTACTTTCTTTGTTGCCCCGGCCGCTGCAGCTACCTCTGCCTTCAAAAGCTAAGTCAGGCATACACCTTCATGCTACTGCCCACGTGACTTATCGGCGATTGCTTGGCTTACACGAACTTTTCCTTTAGCAAACGCCGAATCAAGTTGAAGAGTAACGAATTTTTAGCGCAAAAAGAAAAAAAGTTTTATTTTTCATAAGAAAAAAGTTCTTCAGCACGTTTTGGTGGAGATAATAAGAGTTCTTCTCTGTGTCTTTAAAAAAAGCGAAGAATTTTTGGAGCTTCTTAAAGTGAAAATGTGAAATTTTTCGAGAAAAAAATTCATCTGATCGGGCACTAACATAGAGAAAATATAGAAAGAATTTCCTTTATCATTTCACGAGCACCTACTATTATTCTGGAGAAAGCCCTCGCTCTTCTTGCATCGTTACCATGTTGAAAAAGTTCGTTAGGAAACTAAGGAAGGAAGGCTCTCAAACTATAGCCCTTTCGAATGACCAAAGCTTGAAGAATGGAGAGTAAAGAGCAGAGACTAGGTTTACATCCAATTTTATATGGAGAAAGGGTTGCGTATCAAGGTCTCAGTAGCTAGTTGATTCCGAAGCGGTCATATAAAGATAGATATTTCCAAAGAGTCCCTTTATGATCGGTGTGGACGCCTCCGAGCTATTTGATAACAAGCGAGGTTTTAGACAAGCTGATTCTTTATCATGTGATTTAAGTAGTAAAAGCTGTAGAGCTATACAAGGAAAGTACAACTTTTTTCCCGCTTATGCATACCAGTGATATTGGTGCTATTGAATGACCTGCCTCTGAGGGAACGTGAGTTAATTTAAGTTGAGTTGATGCGGCTGCTGGTCCCTACAAGCACATTTAGGCCAATAGGCCCTTTGTGAACCCGCTGAGGCTCCTACCTTCACCTTCCCAAATGACGGTGTGCCGAGGAACTTGTAACGCGCAGATGTCAAAGCTAGATAATGGCAGAGGTAGTGATCGACCCTCCTCTTCTTCGCCCCTACAGCTGTGGCAAAATAATTTGAGTGATATCCCTTTCTTTTCCAGAGACCACGGCAGTTCTACATTTGCTTGAGAGTTTGTTAAGATCGTTTCTACATTTTATGGCTACTTTTTACGTGGTACTATACATTGTGGGGATCTGATGGCAGCTTGATAGTCGGAGTAGATCCATACGAATACCGGAAGAATGTTGTTGAAAGTCCCTGCAATATCAAGAATGATACCAAACGTAAGCCCATTCAAAACCAATTCCTTTTTCGATGCATCCGACTAAATCATATAAGGCTGAATGAACAGACTTACCCTTAGAGTAAGCATGTTTCCTCCTCGAGAGCCTGGAAGTATATTTAAGCGTACACAGCTGTATAGCTGCCTTTCAAAGATTTCTAAGAGAAAAGAGCTAAGATTAATGGGCCGAAAGTCCTAAGAACTGACGTGGTTGGCTCTTCTTCCATTTGGTATTAAAATTACTTTGTCCCCAATAACAGCTGGGAGATATCAGACAGGGTTTGGTAAAATTTGCATAGAATTTTGATAAGTTGTCCTCAGTCCTCCATTGTTCGGCGTGGAAGATACCATCAAGTCCTGGAAATTCAGAGGGCTGGAATGACATTATCGCCCATTCTACGCCTCTGTGGCAAGGTAGACGAAATATCTCCTGTCATCAAACAAACAGTCATAGCATTCGCGTAACCGCTTCCATGACATTATTGACAGTCACAACTTTGATGCTGAAGAAAATTTCGTCTAACTCGACACATCAACCGTCATAAAGAGTATTCCAGAAAAAGACTTAACGGACGATTTACGGACCCTTGCGAATGGGCATTGACGAACGACAGACAATAGAAGGATAGAGCTGTAAGAGATACATACATGGACATAGTTAAGCGAATTATTAGGAAGCTGTTATACTAGCTAAGTCACATCTTCCAAATGGGTAAAAACGCTTTTCTAGCGGTAAGAAAGTACAAAACCTCCGCTGTGCCAGAAAGATTAGGTGAAGAAAAACCGGCCCTGTGAGCCTGACGATACTAAATCGTTTCTTGTGTAAGCCTCACTCCCCTGAATGAAATTGTTGGGTCCCCAACAACACCTGGTTCAAGTTCTCAGCAGGAAATGTCAATACTTTCGATGCTTCTTAGAACAAACTTTCAGTCATTCCCAGAGTAAGATAATACATCGATCTTCAAGTGACGTGCAACAGTGCAACTCAAACTCGTTTCTTATCACTTGAAGAAGGTCGAAGGGGTCAAGTTGAGCATGAATACTCCGAAGACACGTTGCGATTCTGTTTCCAAGAAAAAAAAGAAGAAAGAAGTTTGCTTCCAAATTTTTCCTACATTACATATGTACGTGTGTGATATTGACACAGTGAAAGACAGAATTTTCTTGAAATTAACGCACCGCCAACTACCAAAATCAGTAGCCATTCAATGGTCAAAGTTAAAAAAAATTAAAACAAAAACAAAAACAAAGTTAAACAAAACTAGCAAAATCAGTGAAGAAGAAGAAAAAACGGCGAAACGGCAAAAAGGCAAAAAGGCACACGCTGAGGGCATGTTCAAACGTGAGAAGTGGCGAAAAGCACAAGGATTCATTAAGTTTGTTTGAGTCAGTTGTGGAAATGCGGACGTGCCCAGTAGAAAGTTACGCCCAGCGATAATTGTTGGCGAACACGAACGAGTCCAGGCACACACACTCACACAGCGAGGCACTTGTGCACGGCTGTGTAGGTATATTGGTATGTGTGTGAGCAATCGAGTGTGGAGTTAAACCAACCAAAATTGTCGAATTGTCTATAAAAGTTTTTGCTCAAATGTGCTCATATGTACGAGTATGTACGAGTATGTATGTATGTATGCTCATACGTATGCATGTGCTTACGTAAAATGCTACCAAGGGAGCTGGGAGCTGAGCTCCATACCACTTAATGTTCCCCAAACACGCACCAACAGCAGCAAGAAGGCACGCACTAACACACGCACACACACGCTCCCATCCAACCACATACATGCTTGTATACATGCACACGAGTGTAAGTGGTAGTTAGCGCAAAGAGTCACTTTCGAATGACTTGACTTTGTAGGGAAAACTTTCTTAATTTCAATTACCCGTGTACGCGACGCCCAACTGCCAGCGCTTCACGTTTAGTCCCCGCAAAAGCAAACACTCACAAGGCCAACAGCGTTTGCTGGCACGCCTTTATCAGGATCAAAAGGATATGGATTGCATTTTATTTACGATGTGCTGAATTTCAATTCAACGCATTTCAGGTTAAATAGAATTTGAGTATTTCGATTAGCGGAAGACAAACGTGAAGCCAACGGTAAGCCAGCAAAGCAACATGAGGCAGCGCGCGAGTCCTCCAAGCAACACAGTTAGTGTACTAACCAAGCATGCAGTCGGAAAGCTACCAATAAGGACTCAGACGTGCAGTGAGTTAGTCTTACACGCGGGGCAATGAAGCGTGGCGTTCAAATCAAATGTAAGACATTGCTATGGAGTCCTGGATATATTGTGAAGACAAGGCTACACATTTACTGGGAAGCAAGAAGCCATTGCACGCCTTAAGCTCAATTGCAATTTGATTTGAATTCCGTGAAAGCTCTCGCTCCAACCATTTACACTCGCACGAATGTTTTTGTAATTTCTCAAATGAAAACAAAATTACGAAATGAATGCGAGTTTCCTTTGCTGCCTTGCCGACCGTAATGCCATCTTGTCGTATGAATGGCAGCTAAATTACGTATCCTCGTATTAAAATCAAATTTTCAAACGCATTTCGAATTGTGTGCGTGGCTCAATTGAATGGTAATTTACCTTCATCGCCTGCTAATGCTGCACGTTTTGTCTTCGTTCTTGCTTTTTTTTCGTCTTCGAAAAGAAAAACCCCAATAATGTGCATCAATTCACAGCAGATGGCGCTAAGATGAAGCTTTGGCATGTTAAAAGTAGGAAGTGTAATTTGAAAATGGTTGCATGGTGATTGACAATCATTTCTACAAGCGTACAATTCGGTGTTGAATTTTAAAATTAGAATTACATAAGAAAATTAATGGGCAAATGAATTAGTGTGCAAAGAAGTGCCTTCAGTTTCGCCAGCTTAAAAGCTCATTAAGCTTCAGCAGTAATATATTTATTTTAAATCAGCAAATAATGGTTCTAGAGTCGAGGTCCCTAGACTTTAAATTTCTTGAAACACTGAAGCTTGCTCATTCAAGATTCTTTATAGAACAGTCGAATTGTCTTCTCGCTCCATAAGTTTACGAAGCGACAACAGCACTGGTCGGTGCTGGAAACACTTTGAGATCGTTGAATTTGTGATTTATTAACGTAATAAGTTGAAAGAGGTCTTTAATTTATTTATGTCTTTAATCTAATTTTCTGCAGCAAAAGCGATTGTGTTTAAACTTTCAGTTGGGGAATAAGAATCTTCATTTCTGGCATTAATTATTGGAAAATGGATGACTGCTTTAAGCAATGATAGACCTAATGACTTTGCATATCCTCCGTCTCTTACATTGCCGAACTATGTCTATTTCGCCGTATTTCACTAACTCCTACGAAGGACGAAAGCTTTCCGAGAGACATTTCACTCGAAGTCCTTCGTCCACGCTTCTACACCCTATATATTAGGTGTAGTAAAAATATGTCCATTATTTTTTCAGTAGATGGCGTTATTTATCTGTATCTGGCGTTTTATAAGTCCGTTCGGGTTCCCTTAGATGGCGTTAGTAAGATGGCATTTCGTACTAAAAAACCTCTCTGACAGTTTTGTGATTGATTCATAAATATACAGACATATAGGTATAATAGGCGCTTTGTAACTGCCGATGCGGCTTTCAACTGACCTCCTCCTCCTATTTGTGGTCTTGTGTCCTGATGTTTTTGCAACAAACCGCAGGACCTGCAATTTGTTCTAAGCGAATTTTATTAGGAGCTTTTATTTTGTGTCAGAAACACACTCGAAGGGCGTTGAGCGACTTGCAGAATGTGGACTTTGTTTGTCGAAAGAACAGGATATATGTAGGAATTCTCCTTGGGATTTTCGGGCTGTCATTTTAATTGATACTGATTCTGATTCTTAGATAGAAGGAATTTACAACGAATTCAAACTTTTTACTGTTAATTGCCAACGCGAATGGACAGACTGTTTATTTGATGACCACCAGACCCATTCACTCCACCTCGTCCCAGTTATTAAGTATTGTACTTCTCCTATTTAATACGGCCGCTCAAATTAATTTCTACGGCATTAAACTAAAGGAGACACCCAAAAAAAGTCACTTTGCTTTAACGCTCGTTTGGTACCGAACGACTACTA